ATATCCATTTTCTATATTAAAAATTAAAATGGAAAAATTTAGATCTGTCTCATTAGTTTTGTTTAATTTATTAAGACAAAATTTAAAAGATTTTGAAAAATTTAGATTTATCTCATTAGTTTTGTTTAATTTATTAAGACAAAATTTAAAAGATTTTGCTCTTCTATTTTATCTCAAAAGATCCCCCCAGAGACTTCCAAGTTTCCTTGGAACCAGGTACAAATTTCCAGTCTGAGAACCAGGACTACATCAGACTGCTTAGAGGGACCAGTAAAAAATGGAACAAAAAAATGAAGAAATGAAGAGACCAAGGCAAAGCAACACAAAAAACACATGCTGGAGGACAGTTTTGTTTTAATTTAATGACTTTATAGATATTACACATTTGTGTATGTGTCATTAATTATCTGGCTTTTTATCCTCCATGAATTTTCTCTGTGACTAGGTGTTTGGTATCTCCCTCTTGATGACTTAAAAATTAACTAATTTTTTTTTTTCAGAAGAAGCAAATAACTATGAGTTCCCCAAATGACCTCAAGGGCAGAATGAAGAAATTAAGGGTACTATATTCATGCAAAGAAATATGAGGGGACTTCAAAAAGTTCATGGAAAAGTGGAATAAAGTATGAGTTCATTTTGGTCCAAAAAAAGTGGAAATGCATGCAGTTCTTTCCTAACACACATTTTCTGTGAAACGTTAAACACTCCCCCCACACCACCACCAATAGTTGACACCATAACTGAATTTATGGCTGAATCTCACGGACACATTGCCAAACAAAGAAAACCTTACAATAGAAAACCCACTGTATGATTCCATTTGCATGAAGTTAAAAAATAATGGGTTGTCGGGAAAGTTATGATGCATTTTTGCATAGAAAAACAGAAAAATGTGCCATGACTTTCCCAATGGCCCAGTAGGTATAACTCATCTCTGCACCACGAAGTCCAGGTGATGTTAACCTCGGGGTACCTGAATGGCACCTCCAGGTCCTCCTCAGGACTTCTGGCAGTGGAGGATTAATCTGTTTCTTGAAATAGTAGCTAAATTGTGAAATCTATCCCACTGTTTATTGGTTATAGTTCGATAAAACTTTTTCAATATAAAATGCATCAAACAAGTAACTACATGTTTCTCCAATTATATGCATTATTCCAAAGACTCATTAAGCTGTCAGGACCCTTAAGTGAGCAGTGTAATGTCGGGAGTGCCAGTGGCCTGCCCTTGGCCACGGCACACACATGTGTCATTGCCCTAGAAAGAGAACACAACATTATCATCCAGGACCTTTCCTAGCCCATCCCATCCTGAGGATGCAGCCAAGAGAAGGGTCTAGCCAGACTCAGCATCCAGACAGGTCAAAATAAGGTCCCACTACCCCAAGCCTAACACCCAGCACTGCTGGCATGGCCACCAGATACCCCCAGATTCCACAGCTACCTTTCCCT